CCAAGCGGCAGCTCAGGAAGTGCTGTAATGGCTGAGATATTCCCCTCGAAACTGGCCCCCGCGAACGTAATCGCATGGATTCATGGCAGTTTCGCGCCAGGATCCACGCTTTGCGCCATGAACCCATGCGAAACACGGTCGCGGGGTCCAGTTTCGAGGGGAATATCTCAGCCATCACAGCACTTCCTGAGCTGCCGCTTGGGAAGTGTCTTAGTTAGGGCCCCAAAAGTACTTTTCACGTAAAAGCCCCATAGGTCCAGATCTGCCTGGACGCTGCCTTTAAGTTGAGCGGACGCGAACGCGGCGCGCGCGCATCCTCACCGTTGTAGATCCTGCTCCTCCTGCGCTCTGCGGCTAATAAAGCCGCGTTCGCGCCCAAAGATATTGCGCCTTCAGCAGCTTATAGATACACAGCTGGCAAAAGGCCACGTCACTTCCATATTGAATCCAAAATAATGTACACGTGAACAGAAAACCTACCACATTGACCCCCCCCCCCTGCTATTATACCTCATACTGAAACTATTTCAAATACTTCCAACTTTAATGCCCAAAAAGAGAGGCCTAATCGAAAGCTACCTAACTTAACTCGGCCTTTTGGAGCTTCAAATGATAATTCCAAATATGCTACTCCTAGCTGCCGTGCACCATTCCGAAATGAGTTATGGGCTTTTGTGCAAAAATGGCATACTACTGGAAATGAGAAGACAGCCTTTGGATAAAAATCTCTGAGCAAAAGGTGCTGAGATATCGAACTAGCCCAAATTCATTTTTTCCACTAAAAGGAAACGTAACGCAATTGTTTTAGGACTTAGATAATAATGCCTGATGCCAGCGAGTCGACGAGTATACCATCTGCGCGAAAAAAGTCCATAACTCGCACCGGAATGGCACACGGCAGCTAGGAATCGCTATTTGGAATCAGCGTATGAAGCTGATTCAAAATATCCAGTTTTCCGGCGTGTGAGCCGCAATTATTCTTTTTATCGCGCCCGGGCCAATGTGCGATAAGGGTCGCGATGCGCGAAGCCGCATAAGGCAAGCAATTGCAAAGTATTTTACCTAGTATGCCCATGGTGACTTTCTGTTATAGTTCTTTGTTTGAAGGCATTGAGAGCCCTTCGAAATAATAGCAATATCCGAATTCGAATGAAAGCACAGCATCACTAGAAAGCAAGTACCTCAACTCGATTGTATTCATGAAGAAAAAATAGACAACCCAAAAAATAAACATCCCGCAAAATCGTCCGGATATCTGGAAGGAGTACAGATATACCCAAGGACATGAGCATTCGCAGTCAAGAGCAGTCACAAAACGCACCGAGTCTTCAGTTTTTCAAACTAAAAACATTCTTTTCGAGAGCTTTCGCGTCATTGTTCGCTGTTGCGGCGCGGCTTATAAGCTGGAAAATAGGGTATAAAAGTTTCTTGCCAGAAAGCCGAACTAAGTTGAGTAGCTTCCCTAGTTAGTATCGTAAAGCTAAGGAACGTTTAGATCGATTAAACTGTAACGGAGCCAAAGTCAAAAAAAACCCTAAATTCTAGCAAACTCTCAACACCACTTGACGATTTTATCGGTCGCCGATTATATTTAACTTAAGTTTCTGCATCTAGGATTCTTAGTCCTAAACAAACACTTTTTTCAATTTTTTCAATTTTTTTTTAATTTAGAAATGTTTTATCTCAGATGGTAAAGTTGACACTCTTGCAAAGAAAGAATACGAGCCAGCCGACGTGGACTATGAAATGACATAAAGGATGGCGGAACGTACTCCGCCAGTTTGAACCCCCTCCGCGGACTACTGGTTCTGCAACGACATGCAACAGTAAGCAAAAAGGACCAAATGTCAGCGAAGACGGGCTCAAACTGGCGGAGTTCGTTCCCCTACTCTGACATAAAGAGCTCAACTTCTTGAACCATCACATGAGTATCACTAGATGAGAACCAAACTTCAATACGAAAAACTTAGAAAAGTGTGTCCCTTTATTAGTTGCAACATGGCACAGGGCGACTTATTTGGTAGGGCCTAGTTGGCTTACGCAGCAATTCTGGCTGAGCTAATCTAAGTGAGAGAGTGTATCTGCACGAAAATTTCATTTGCAACCAAGTTGCTGGCTGAGCAGAAGCAAAGAAGAAGACAGGCAAATTTTAAGCGCAAAAACATGAGCAAGCTAGTCTAAAACACAGCAAACTCGGTCCCCTAAACACCTTCACGTCCGGTTTTTCTCTAAAGCCTACTTCTCGCGCGCTACACCAGCGCTCGATCATTATGCACATCCAGATTATCCACAGATTCCAACGCTCCCGTGGCATATGTAAATAGCAAGACAACGACTACAGGCCTAATAACGCACAAAACAAAGCATGTAATTGCTTCGCACTAATTGGGATGGAGATGTTGAATACTGTGTCCTGATGCACTAATTTTGCAAAGCAGGACTCTGCAATGAAGAAAGTGCACATGAGCTATAAAAATGTTCAGATGACTTATTTATACTTGTAAAGTGAACAGTTTCTAGAAGTTCTCAAGAATTCGGGTTAGTCTTGTAAAAAATCCTCTTCGGTCAGAGTTATGCGCCCGCAGAGGTATTCGGGAGCATGAAAATATCCGGAGGGCCCGACCAAAGCTACGCACCTTTATTCAAAAAAATTTTGTGCCCCCTTCCACCCCGAAGAGTAAGTCTGAGACCGCCAATGGGCCCATTATACAAGGTGTCCCAAAAAAATGTACCTACTGTTTGATTGTAAATAACTCTCTTGTATCGAAGTGTTTCGAGAAGCTTTAGGTACCATTTTGTAAAGCGAGGTTAAGCTTAGTTTTACAGTATGGAGCGAATCATCTATCGCTCTTCATTACTGTAGGATTACGGTACGAACTCGACAAGGATTTTAGGCCATTAGAGGCCATATTCTGCCTCGAAACAAAACCAAACAAGGCAAAAGCTCTTACACTACGGTAATGGGAGCCGCTGATTTTGAATTTGAAATTTCCACTTTACTGTGATGCTTCTTTCCAAAGTTATCCCAGGTTAAACCGTAATAACTGAATTCCCAGTAATTGTCAGAAATGTGGTTACCCATCAAAAAAAAAGCTGAAAACAATCGTAAAAAAGTTGTTAGGTGGAATTAACATGCGCGAAAACCTTAGTTCACAATTTTTCAGATTTTTTCAAATTTTGTTAGATGGTGTATTTCACAATGGTTCCATATGCTGGAAGTTCTTACCGTAATCCTACAGTAATGAAGAGCAATCGATGGTTCGCTCCAAACTGAAAATCTAAGTTCAACCTCGCTCTACAAAATAGTAGCTAAAGCTTCCCGGAACACTTCGTCACAAGAGAATTATTTACAATCAAACATTAGGCACATTTTGGACATCCTGTAAGGTGAACGCAGCTACTGGCCGCCCTAATAAAACCCTTATTTCTTCTTAAAGACACCGTCCATCCAGATTTTCGACTTCCATTTTTTGATCGTTCCGGAGCCTTCTCATGTCCCTGATTGAGTATAAAGTCGAGAATCCGCGAAAACCCCGGCAATACCCGTTCCGGAGAACCCGCAGGCCGGCTTTCCGGAACGGTGACTGAAAGGGCGCACGATTGAGAGGGCATTACTGAAGGGGGCGGTACCGATTGGGGTCCTTATGCTTCGCTACTCCAAAGCTTCTTCCTCGTTTTCAAAGCGTTGCCGCGGCTTGGGCACTGGCTTGATAATTATACTATCATAAACTTCAAAAAGCTCAAGATCCCTAACATAGGGTGGACGAGCCTTTGAAGCCGCGCGCCGCCAGTAGCCGCCGCCAGCCGCCGTTAGTCGCCGTCATCCGCTTTACTCTCGCGAAAACGCAAAATTATGAGTTACCACGCTCTACACATCCGTCTATGAATGCTCATCCTCCATGCTTTTTTCTTGTTCTCGTTCACGCGCAGTAACACTCATAAAATATTTTCGTACACAGTGTCCTCATTGTACGGTTGCTGTGGAAACTTGGATACATTCTGAGACCTTGTTTTGAGCCAACAATGAGAAATAGATGCGTAGAAACATGATTGAGCGAAAGCATAATCCAAGAGAGCAATTTCACTGCAGAAAGATAATCGAAGATGAAGAAGTGCATATCACGCCTAAGTCAAAGCTTTCACAGCAAATAGATAATGACAACACAGATCAAATTCTGGATATACATCCTAAGCGTTTACACAGAATGAACATAGCACGACTTGCGATTTCGCTTCCCGTGGGAACAAGATCGCACTACCGGCAGGACAGCTAACGGCGGAAATGGGCGGTAAACGGCGACTACGGTCAGCTAACGGCGGCTGTCGGCGTTTATGGGTTCATCCTTATGATATACAGGAGAACACGATACCACCCGATCCCTACTGAACCACATCGAAGGTCCTGCTGCGAATGAAAGAAAAAGGAGACGCACACAAGAACCGTCTTGAAAACAGCTCTCGGCAAATTTCGCTATTCAGTTTTTCATCTATTCGAAGCCTTTTCGCCATAAGGAACTCGTATCTGAGCTTCTCAGCATGAAAATGGAGAAAATGAGCCTTTTCCGAAGCTTTTCAGGTCCGCATTCATTGAAAATGCACCGGAAGTCTTCCGCATCAGGCCTCCATCGTTTCAAACTCCGCCCACTCAAACGTATTAACCGCCGAATGCGGATCTGGAAGGCTTCAAGAAATTATTCGCCATTTTCATGCGCTGAAAAGCCCATCTAATGGTGAAAGGTTCCGAAAAGGCGAAAAATGAAAACAAAATTTTGCCGGGACACTGCCTCTAATACTCCTAAAAAGTTAAGAGTTTGTTGAACCAATAGAAATGCTGAATCTAGATAATTCGACGTCATTTCGAAACATCAACAGCCGAAAATAGCTCTACATTAGTAATTTGCCTAGAAAATCAAGGTCCCCGAAAGCTTTTTAGTTTCACTCGTCAAGAAAAATGCTAGCTAATTTCTGTTAGCACCGTGATCAAAACGAACTCAACAAACCTTTGAACTCCATACGTCTTATGTTCCCACCAAATTTCTGAAGCACTGCAGCAGCAAAGTCATGATGTTCTTTATCAGCAGACGACCCAAATTGGGACACCTGCCATATTCGGCGACACACTGTCTCCGCTGCCAATATCAGAGAATGACGGAAGACGTCATCGCAGTAGACGTCTGAGTTTTTCACAATCCCAAGCAATTCACTCAGATCTTGCTGAGTCAAAGAACAGCCTTCTTGAAGTCTCAACCTCAACACCGCTAATTTTCTCAATTGTGCTGAAGATTCCATGCGTACAAGAATTCCTGAACATATCAAATTCAACTACTATCGCAACACTTTGCTATCATCACGTCCAGTAGCAGAACAGTCTTCCTTGTACACAGTATTTTTAATAAGGAAGCCCTACTTCCGTCAACACTACAATAATCTTTCGGACATAAATCTTATTTATGAAAAAATCTAACAAAAAAACAGTATGCATCGGGAAGCAAAACACGGATAAAATGGAATCAATTATGTTCTACACGTTCAAAGGCCAACTGGGAAACAGGGCACGAATAACAATCAACAAAAACAATGGCGATGATGATCAATCGAGTCTAGCGATGTTGTGGTTAGAAGCTAATACCGACTGATCACGTTGCCTACTCATCATCTCCATCATCTTCTTCCTCTTCTTCGTCATCCGCGTCCTTTAAGATCGATATCAACAACTAGATCGATGGCTAAAGATATCCAAGCGTGTTACCTCTCCGAGATCGTAGATATCATCGCCAAAGTCAGCCTCTCCCGTATAGAAAAGTACAGCACGAGGGATGATGTTGTCACGAAGCACCTGTCCAATTTCAAAGTCCGCTCGCATCAGTTCGTGCGACTCCTGAAAGTTGTACGAAAACTACGGGATCCACTGCATTATCTACACTAAATGAAGGGTTAATTGAACCTAAGGTTTGCCATATAACCTAGGACGTATCCCAACTTTTTAATTCCAGAGAAAAAGTGAATGAGATGACCGCCTTTGACATGTAGTCAGGATTTAGTACAGCGATTGCTTAATCACAGCAACAACTGGTTGCATACCCGACATTGATTTTGTGCGAATGCAGGAAGAATTCAAAACAAAATGAGAATTCTGAAATATCTGCGCGCACGAAGGACAAGTATGAGCCGACTTCCTTCCAATCAATATACTTTGCCTTCCTTCTTGTCCACACTCATAAATACTCAGTGATCAGTTGATGGTAAATAAAGGAGATAAAAGTAACAACAAAAACCACATTCAAAAGATTCTACTCGGTAAGAGGCAAATATTTGTCAACTTACATCTTCCTCATCATCCTCATTCTTATGATCCTCAGTTGGAGGCACAATCGTATCAAAGAAATTGAAAAAGCTATCGGCCTTGACCTGAAAATAACGCAGTCGGTCAATAATCAAGAAAAAGATTAAATAAATAAATAAAGTTACACACTGTTTTCGTTATAAATTTTCCAGCGTTGGCACCCTTCTTCAGCTTCTTTTTCACAACCTTCTTGGTGATATTTTTGCCTTCATTCCATTGGATCGTATCGCTGCAAACAGCTCGTCCATCACGTGTCTACACAGGCACTCATCAAATAAACAACTCACCCAACGGCGCGGACAACAGATGGCCCATCGAAACCAAATGGATCCTCTGCATCAGGCTTAATTTCCAAGAAGTATTGTTTCTTCAATACAGCGTTTGTAAAGTACTCATTAGGGGAGAAATGGAAATAAATAGTGAAACCCTGAAAGAAATCTTAGAAAGAAGATGAACAGGAAGAGATATGAAAGACCTACATGTGGGTCAACTTCAATGGAAGTGGTGATATCAGTCAGATGCTTCAAGATAGGCTCATCATGATCTTGAATCATATCCTGAGTCATATCAGACCCTTTTAGCACGTTGAGCCAGAAAGATGGAATTCCTTTAGATCCATCATCAGGTTGTGATTTGTCATTTAATTCCTGGAACCAACGCTATTGATTGTAAGGACTTCCTCTAGCTGGCACTGACATGACCAAATTTACACTCTAACGCAGTGCCGGATATCTGCTAGTTGAACCCCCCCCCCCCCGAAAAAAATTTGTAAATCATAAATATTTGTTATATGCGGTGAAACTACCCTATGAAGTCAAGCAACGCAGAAAATAATTTTGAACCGATAACTGCACTTAGCCAATCAGATTAATAGCTCCCTCACGCCACTACATGAATTGAAAAGCAAAAGAACAGTATAAATCAATAAACGTTCCCACAATAAGACAATTGTGTAAACACCGGAGATATTGCGATGACGGATGGCAATAAAAACGCTAGTAATTGCTGCTGAAAATCCAAAACCCTCGCTCACTCGAACAAAGTTTGGACTTTATATACTTTTCATGAAAAAAATGACGCTTAGCGGTAAGACCACTAGTCGTTTGGCTTCACTAGAAAAAACATTGCATCGAACGCAAATCTGATGAGGAAGATCGACGCTAATATAATTTGGAGTGCAGCGTTAGGCTAACCAAAAGAAAAAAAACTGGCATAACTTAGTCAGCCCAAGGTTAGGAGGAAACTTCAGACCCTAGAAAAATCTAGCAGAACTGAAAATCAAAAGAAAATATGTAACGCTATGACTCACGCAAACTATTTATGATTGCACATTAGGGTTGAATTAGGTATATATCATTCCATTCTAAAACTCAACACATCCGCCCACTACTTTTCAAACACTCTCAAACCGTAATCTACGTCGTGCTAAAAACACCACTCATTTATGCATTGACTCACGCAAACATGACAAGATTTGGTACAAAAAAAAATCTGTTTGTCGAACAAGTCCTTTACAATAGATGATTTGAGTCAAACTGACCTTAACTTCATTCTCCTCTAGTCCGTGGATAATGGGAAGCTTGGCCTCGTCATCTTTCGGCTCGTACTCTCCAGCAACGATCTTCCGTCGCTGAAAAATGCATTTGATTGCAGGCGCACGACTAATCCGCATATACGCGTGGAGGGTGAGAGCGACACTTACCTGCTCGTAAAGTTTATTAAACTCGCTTTCAAATTCCTTTTCGAGCTGATGAACACGTTCGTAGAACTTCGCTTCAACCTGAAATGAATTGATGAGAGAGCAACCGTTAGGTTTCGCCTCTGGATTGACTTACTTCAATGCTATCGAGCTGTACTTTTTTGAGAGCGCAAACGCGCTTTTTAACAGTAAGTGGAAGAGGTCCAATGTAATCTGGAACGCCCGAGTCTCCACCGTCCTTGAGAAGATCAGCGAGATTGCGTTTGTCGCCCTCCATTTTATTACCTGGACAGCTGTGCAACTACCTTCAGCAATGGCACAAGAATAATGAAACGTGAATTTTCGAAGGAACAGCTTTAAGGATCACAGTCACAAAATGTACGTTCAAGCTATTGCGAAATAAAGGACTATACATAAAATGTCATGGTGGCCTTACTTTTCACATGAATGAGTCATGCAAACTTAAAAAGACAAGTGGAATTACTTCGAAATATATCATCATCGTAACAACTGAAAAGAAACATCATGAAATGAGAGAGAAAAATGAAAATTTGGGCGAGCCACAGACTGAAGAAAACCACGCCCACTCAACGGTGGTCGTTCTCGCTGTGGGAACCAGCAGAATGTGTAAGGGCGCGCCCTTTAACTGATACCAAAGCATCACTATTTTGCCCGTCATTGGTGTAGGTGGGCATTCTCATGGCGTTCTTCGAGAATACAATGATGGAGGTTTCTCGGGAGTCGTGTTCTAACTTGGCGTGAGCGTTATTATTTATTTATTTATTTATTTTATACGCGCAAGTCGTGCTCATCCAACTCAGAAACGTAAGTCAATATTAGAACTAAATATCTCTTGACCAAAGTGCTGGGCATGTGAATTGTAAGTGCTCGAACATTGTTGAGAACCTCACTTTGAGGAACCAGTATCCATCACCTCTACTGTGTTAGTACTCATGTTTATATCGACCGATCAAAATTGTTTCTACACCCATAAACCTACGAAATAATCGTAAAGTGAAATTTCCAATTAATATTCTACAACTTTGGATTGAATCATTCAAAAACAATCATGATCATGTGCTAAGAGCGTTGAGAAAGCTTATTGCCTTATATAGCCGGTCTCACCTTAGTGTGCTCGTCGAAAATCGATCCGGAGCTGCTGACGTTACTGCGAACTAGACGAACGCTTGCTGAAAATGAAAAGAGGCGTTGCATGGTACTATTTACGCGTGTACAGCATGTCAGAGTTTTCAACTGGTTGTAACTTGTTTTCCCTAGTCAGTTTGTGTTCCGACTTGTTTCGCGAGAGCCTACACAATTAATGTATTTTGCGTCACGTCTTAGTGCTCTTAGCGCTTGCGGTATCGGCTATACTAAAAGCGCTGGCGGCAGGGCCCGGCACAGATGTCTGGGGTCAAACTAGACTTCGTTTCTGAAGTTAGAAGCAATGGAGATATAGTTTTTATAAGGTCCTGGGGGAAGCGCCGAAGAAAAAAAAAACGACGAACACGTCAGGTTCTACGAGTTGGACGCCCTCTCGCAAGCGCGCGAAATTCAAACGCAAGACTCAAACAAACAAATGGCTCGTTTACAGCGCACAAACAATCACATGGCTCCGAATTTGGGCTATATGTATACAATATTACTCCAGATTATGTTATGTAAAAAGTTCCAAAAACTTATGTGTTCTTACATCCGTTACCGAATTTGTTGGTTTCACCAAACCAACTGGGTTGGTTCGGAGCATAAATATCGGAGAGTTTACATCAGTTTTGATCTTTCTGATTTAGACGATTAGAACGGTCAAAAATAATCATTCAGTGAAGAGAGCGAGTCAAACCATTGCCTTTCCTCTTTATTTGAGCCAAAAGTGGTGTAAGCCCAGGCATTGATGGATATCGCGCTCCAATCATGCGCGGTGTCCTTTAAACTAGGTATGCGGCTAGAGGTGCAATAGGTGGAGCCGCCCCCCCCCCCTAAAAGTGAAGGTGGTTCCAGCTACCACTGGCCGGCCAAAAGTGAAGGTGGTAGTGCCGGACACTCACCTCCCAAAAATGTCGGCGGGGGGGGGGAGGGTCATAGCTACCACTGGCCAGCAAAAGTGAAGGTGGTAGTGCCGGGGACCACCTCCTCAAAACGTTGACGGGGGGGGGGGGGGGTGGGGTAGAGAGGGGGAGGGAGCACAGGACGGACTTGGGTTTGGGGTTTTTCGGACTTTTGGATTTTGATTTTTTTTGCTGAACTGAAAAAAGGAATTAAGCAAAACGAACGCAAAAAAAAGTACTGAGAGCATATTCTATGTAGTTTACTTTTAGGAGGTCGCCGTCGCCTACTGCGAGCACCTGGAGGCCATCACCGACATAGGGCATACACGCCTTAGCACTTTCTACGATGAGCAAAGCTTCATGATGACTTCGGATACCTGGAGCTTTAACCCAACGGTCCTCGGCCAATAGCGACCCAGCGGCCCTCTTTAGGGCCACAAATACGATGAGTACAACTGCATAAATATTTTAAATGAACGTGTTAATAAAATAGTGTATTTGTGAGTGATACTAAGCTGAACTTTATGTGTTTTATCAAGTACAATTTGTTATGACGTACTGCGAAGAAAGTAGGTCGATCCAGGCAGTAACCGCCGAGAACCAGAATTTCGAATGATAAAATAATGAAAAATCATGCGATGATTCCATTGTTATAAATTTGCTGGTTGAAGACGTCAGCTATTGTGACTTCATAGATTTTGTAGGGTGAGGTTTGCCCTATCAGATTATGTCTTAGCTGTACCGATCCATTAAAACATCGCCGAGATCCAGGCTCTTGAAAAAACAGTTAAAAAACCGTTTTTTAGCTCATAACTTCTCCAGGACTGCATGAATCATGTTGCGACTGCATAGGTTAAATTCTCCTCTTCAAGAGCTTTCAGATGATGCATAATATGTGGAGGATTCAATGTTTCTTGGGGCTCTAACCCGGGTGGAGTACTTCTCTTCACTAATTCTCCACCCCGACCATTTCATTGTATTGGCTGGAGGCCGCCAGTCCAGAATTAGTGAAGAGAAGTACTCCACCCCGGGCACATGCCGTGGGAGGCGTGAATTCCCCACATATTATATATCATTTGAAAGCTCTTGAAGAGGAGAATCTGACATATGAAGTCGCAACATGATTCATGCAGTTCTGAAGAAGTTATGAGCTGAAAAACGGTTTTTTGCCTGCTTTTTTAAGAGCCTGGATCTCGGCGACGTTTCAGTGGATCGGTACAGCTAAGAAATATTCTGATAGTGCAACTCTCCCTATAAAACCTATGAAGTCTCATCATCATACACCTTCATCCGGATTTATAAGAGTTTGAATGTCAGTTGTCATTAAGCAACCTAAAATCGCGTGATTTTTCAATATTCTCGCTCTCGGCGGTTACTTCTCAAATCAAACTGATTCTTCCACTATAGAACACCATTTACCCTTCAAAACCTATGAAGTCGCAATCGCTGACGTCTTCAACCAGCAGATTTATAACAATGGAATCATCGCATGATTTTTCATTATTTTATCATTCGAAATCTTGGTTCTCAGCGGTTACTGCCTGGATCGACCTACTTTCTTCGCAGTACGTCATAACAAATTGAATTTGATAAAACACACAAAGTCTAGCTGAGTATCACTCACAAATACACTATTTTATTAACACGTTTATTTAAAATATTTATGCAGTTGTACTCATCGTATTTGTGGCCCTAAAGAGGGCCGTTGGGTTAGAGCTCTTCGTTATCCGAAGTCATCATGAAGCTTTGCTCTATCGTAGAAAGTGCTGAGGCGTATATGCGTCCATTCGGTGATGGCCTCCAGGTGCTCGCAGTGGGCGACGGCGACTTCCTGAAAGTATTAGGGTGATCCAAAAGTAATGGGGCACCCTGATTTTATTAAACATTCTTCAAGATTTCTTCCTGATTAGCTATGAATGCCCAGCATTCTTAACGCCTTTGTATAAAGTGACCTTCGCAGGTTATCTTGACAGGACCTTGCAGCACCTCACCGACATTTCTTCGAGTGGCGCCTCAAAGAAGTCAAACAGACTTTTTTGAACGCTATCCGAATTTAGGCTGCTGCACCTGATAGTCCCTCGACATATGGCATACCATTCGAAAGAGCTTTCCAAGCTCTTTCTAATGATTACTTGAATATCCAAAAATTGCCCATTATTTTATACAAAAAAGGCACTTTATTCGAAAAAGCGCGGTGTTTGGCGCAGATTTTCAGACTAAAATTCATGTTTTGGACCACAATCTTTTGAAAATGAGAAAAGTCGAAGTAATTTGCATATGTATGGATAGAGCGTAAAAAGCACTATCAGAAGGCAACTGCTAAGTTTGGGCTTATTCGATTACCTTGATGAAAGAATAGCTCTAGGACAGAGTTCGTGCACCTTAGACCAAAAGCAAGATTAGTTGACTAATTTAGTTAGTTAACTTTTACTGTCTGTAAAGCTTTTGAAGTGGTGTACTCACAATTAGGGAGCATTGTATAATGAAAACTACTTGGCTCAACTAATGAAGGAAGCTTCGCGAAGTGCAGAGTTTTCTCGGTTCTAATTAGTCTAATGTTAGAGTTTTCAGTTTGTTTTTGCTTCTGAGGTGGAGGAGGAGTTTTCTCAATCGAAAACCTTTTCAGAATTCCTGCTGTAACTTCGTAATAGTGACCAGGTTTTGCTCTTTACTTTGAGTCTAGGTTGAAGCCAGCTGTACACTTGGTGTTTGAAGAAAGGCGACTTTTTGTATGAGAATATTGTCACTTTCAATACATCATTGTGGGACATCCTGTTTGAAGGACCCAAATTGCATGGATTTCATACTCACCAACTCAGACAATGGCTCCAACCCATCCGGAGGACATTTTTGAAGGGCTCCGGATTCTCCTCTCTTCCCCCTCCCCTCCTCTCGGGTGGGTATCTAACTCTCTCTGGACTCTACCGGGATTTTTTCCCCGGAAGTCTTCAGAAGGTTATCTCACCCGGACCTACACTTTACTTGGCATATTGTAACCAGCCCCAGTCCCAATACCTGTATTTTGCGCATATGGGATATGTAACTAACCCTTAATGGGGCTTGGCATTTTCTAGCCCTAATTGAGCTCCCAGTCCCAATTATAGCTCATTAACTCCACTTAAACTACCTCTAGACACTTGATCACTGCCCTGAACTTGTTTCTTTCTCGAAAAAGGCAACAGTACTCGACGTAATACTGTTTATTTTACTAATATGTTGTCTGGGATAATATTATAAACATCGAGCAATGTAATCGAGGCCATCACACAAATAAGTCACATAGGATGATTGAAATGAGAAGAGGTGGGCATACAAGATAATCCGAGGCTAATAATAAATGGGGTTAAAAAGAGCACGATGATAACAGAAGCACTAGTTTTGCAGTGGGAAAAAGATTGAAAGAGATTTAACTGAGCAGGGAATGCCAAAACTTAACCCAGCCAAACTTACTGCATACCATCGAACTCACCTTGAAACGTTGATCACAAATATATGTTTATTATCTGCCAAGCGAATATCTGGGAGGAGTTATGAGCGTTTGAATGTGCGATTTGTCAAGTGTTCTGTGGCGGCGTACGTTCCACGAATTAGGTTTCAAAAACACTCATTTGGGTTTTTGGAAACTTCTGTATTCTAATTCTGCTTCTGTATTGTAATCAAATTAACCACAGTGTAAATCCCGCCATCAGACTGTTTCACAAAGATATGAGGCATAGAAATCATTCTACATTCTTCTTAAAAAGAGAGCAAAAATAGTAAGTGAAGTCGGAGGTCGGGGAACTAAGGAGAGATCATTTTCCTCAAAGTGGGAAACATTCTTTGTGAAACAGATACATACGTTGAAATAAAAATCGACGAGAACCTACACGCATGACGGCATATAGGCAACTGCAAATACATTTATATACAGGGTGCGGCAAAAGTCTGGGAGCCTAAATTTGCAGTACTGCAATTACAAAAATACTGATGGTTTTGATTTCAATTTTATGCCACATGATGCTGCGGTCATCCTCTACAGAACACACTTTATTTGGCTGGAAATGGCTGCCATATGTTTTTGTAAGAATGGAAATTACCAAACTAGTATTTTTGCAAAGCGAAAAAAACCAGAATTTTTGGTATTTACAATTTTTGCTATAACTAAAGATGCTGTTAATATATTACAAAACT